GTATTTTGAGCCTATATAAGCTCAATCTCCATTCATTGTAAATATATCTAATTTTTGGAAAAAATAAAAGAGAGTTTTTCTCACATTTGAAGTTTAGGCTTTGTTTACTTTTTTTTTCTATTGTGTGTGATTCTCTTAGAAAGCAAGTAGAATCTTTGTTTTTGTGTGATTCACATAGACATTGATTTGTCTTCTTATCACAAAGTCATTCCGCAACTTTGTGTGGTGAATTTCGATCCATTATAGGCTTTGAAACCGTTTGGCCATAAGTTTGGTGTGATTCCGATCTTATATCATATGAGCTCACATAAAATCTTTTTATAGAGTAGATGACACCCTCTTTTATTTTATTTTTGTATAGACTGGTGCGTCTTACATTGATAAAACATGATTACATCAACCTGAAAATCATGGTTTTAAAAAAGCAGCCAAGATATAGAATGGGTTTTAGTCCGAATATAAAATAACAGAATGTTAATAAGATTGTTCGATATATAAAGTGTTGTTTATTACCTTCTTCTCTATTAGTAAGAATGTTAGTCGAATGATTTGACCATACTTAAGAATATTACTCTTGATTTCAGCTATCACTTATAATATTATGTATCCAAAAGGGACAATAATTGAAATTACACTTATTGTCCTTCTTGTGTATTCTTTCTAAATAAATTTGACAATTGAAATTGTCCTCAATGTGTTCACATTACAAATACCAATATAAACCTATTATATCACGTATTCAAAGAAAAAAGAATATCAATCATCATTAATACAAATACAAATTCTTTCCCATTTTATACATGTATAATACAAACCACCAACAATGTCAAATAGTTAGTAGAGAAATAAAATTCACATTTAGCGACATAAAATTATTCATAAATGACCAAATAACAAATAATATACTTTTTTTTTGCAACAATTTTACTTCATTTCTTTAAAAGATCAAAGTACAAAATGAGAGAATTAGACATCATCCCACGTTACTACAACATAATTAAAGTGCAATAAAATAAAAAGCAGATAGATCATCGCAAAAGATGATAGACAGCAAATCCAAAGCATGTCTCGGATGCGTCAAAATGGTCTTCGCGGCAAGGCCGGAGATTCTCAGGTTAGTCATTTTACCATGTTACTTTGAAATTCCCGCCCGGCATAAAGCACACGGGTTGGACCACTCTCCATGAGAGGGAAGAAAATACGACCAATCTCAGAGAGATGAAAGATGGTGGAATTAAATTCTTCCACCCAGGATTTGAGAATCCAGATAACTTTTGACTTCTCTCAATAGAAGAAATACATTCGATAAAAACTACCGGATTTGAGAATCCAAAAAAATTTTGTCTTCTCTCACTAGAAAAAATAAATTCGATAAAAACTACAGGATTTCAGATTCCAGAAAAGAGTAAATATTTCGATTCAACCAAACTTGAGGTGAAAATTGGAATATTTATCAGCCGTTTATAATAAATATGGCACAGGCCCAATACCTGATTTAGACAGCTCGGATTGATGGTTGGCTTTTTGTATGGGCTAATGGGAAAAGATATCATTGGGCTTAGAGGCCCATTCTTCTGCTGGCCCAAGCCCAGGATCCGTCTGTGTTGTAACGAAGGGGGTAGGTTACCGCTGCCGACTTCATCAAGCTTCCGGATCGAGCCGCCGCCGAGAGGAGAGACGGGAAGCTGGGCTTCTGATACTTATCACCACCCTTGCCTCGGGGATCTTGTCCAGCGAGATAACGATTGGGTGAGCAAGCTAACACGAATAGTTGCGGCGGGGGAGTCGAGATTGGCCTCCTTAGCCTTCGGACATGGAGACGAGACAGAGTCTCGATGCCGGAGCCGAAGGGGGACGGAGCCATGGGGCGACAGAATCGGACCTCGAAGCCTTCCCGATCTGATGCCGTTCAAATCTTGGGAAGGTTCCGGTGCGATGGTAATCGACATTGGGGAGGAGAAGTGGAAGGACGTCCTCCGGGACGTAAAGTTACAGCGGCTATCCGCGAAGATTCCAGCCGGTTGTAGACGCGGCGGAGGGTGGTCATGGCCTTGTCGAAGCTTCGGATGGGATCTATCTCCCACTAGAGGAGATAACTTTGAGATTTTATCAACTTCCATATGACAGCTACGGAAGGTAGGGACAAGTGAAGACAGCGGTGAGTCACGAGGGGTGGATGAGACCTGGTAACCAGATCCAATGAGAGAACAACTGTCCACAACAACAATACGAGGCCGCAACCGTGCTTTGTCGGCATGGGCCGCGAGACCGGAGAAGCTATAGGCGGAGGTTCAGGGGGGATTACAAGCTGTGGAAATTTATCCGCCATTGCTGCCTCCAAACTTGGGTCTGGAAGCCTAGGGGACGGTGAGGACGAGACCGAACCCCGTTTAGCTGACGTCATGGAGCCGAGAGGGGGTGACGACGGAGGAGAACGACGATCCGGTGAAGAAACTTCGCCGGCGGCTACCTCGGTCGGCGTGCCTGGGAGAGATCCTCTAGGGCGAACAACAAATAATATAATTAAATGCACTCTTTAATAGTCCAAATAATCCAAACCCGCGCACCGCGGGCCTGCCCCTAGTTCTTTATATTTTTGACTTTTTCATTTAATTATGTGGGATTATTAGAACAATGTCTAGATGGTTAGTGATTAGATAAAAATAATGATCAAGACTATAACATGTTAGATCCTTTATAGGTTGTGATTGATCTAGAACATTAAGTTAGTTCACGCTTAGAAGGTGATTTGATGAAATATATAACCAAACCTAAAATGAGTTTTTCTTGCTAGTTGATAATAAGCTAAAATAGGTTAGCTTAATAGACCAACTTGACACGCTTATTGATTATTTAATACTGCCGATAAAACCTTAGCATAATTAAGTGATTTGTGAAGTAGATGAGCACCACATTTAATACTATAAGAGCATAAAGTTGTGATTTGTGAAGATTATTTAGGGTTTAAAACTCGAATGATTAATTTGTTTTCGTCCTTGCAGTGGAATGAT